CCCGTCCACAGGGGTTCGTACACAGTTTCCTCGTGAGGGATACAAATTTGGGAGGGACACATCTGGTCGTTAGACACTGTGAGGTTTCATGATCGACAGAGTTGAAAGCAGCTTTCGGATCAAGAAGGACGACTAACGTGGGACATTTGAACAAGTGGCTCTGTTCAAAGTATCTCTCAGCGTAGCTATAACTTCGATTAATTCTCAGACAGAACAAAACCCAGCTTGAGTCTCGCGAACATTTCTCCCATGGTAATCGGTCAGTCTACGTAAAATAATGCCAAGGAGTACCATGGGTGCGACAGCTAAAGGCTGATGCTACACTATTTTCGCATGATTTTCTTGTATTCTTTCTGAAGACGGATGATGGTTGGCGTGCTCCACTCCATTGGTATTGTTTCTATTCCAAATCTTCCGCAATAGGTCGTCAGACTGTTCATCATGACCTTATCATCCTTGAGAAATGTGGGTTGCAGACCATCCAGGCGGGTGCTTTGTTCCGTTGGAGGACTGACATCTCACACTGGGTTTCCGTTGTAAACGGCGGACTGTAATTGATGTTCCATTCAGACTCGCTGGGTTCTCACAGAACTTGTGCTCAGCTGGGCTGTTTTTGAAGTGTTCAGCAATCACTCGAGACGAAGGCCTTGTGAATGAATTGTCGCCCCCTGTTTTTTACATATTGGTGATACCTGTCTTCTTTTGACCGGTTGATTAGATCAGCCAAAGCATGGTGCAGATTTTGCCTGCTGTGAAAGTTTTCTGCATCTCCCGGGACTCCGCAATCCTCCAGCTTTCTCTATAGTGCTTCAAGCTCTTAATCCTTCGGCGTTCGAGGGGTCTGCTTGGGGATTTTGGCAGCTTCTGGTCTCGACAATATCCAAGTTCATTTAACCAGGTTGGATGGCTTGGAGAAGTTAAGTAGTATGGCTTTTTGACTTGCTTCCATCCAACCTTCAACCAGTCTGTCGTCACCGGCGTGACTCTGTTTTCATTGGCTTTCCAGCTCCATACTGCTGGAGCTTGTCGAATTCGATAAACGGGCTTGTTATGCTTCGTTACGTATGATGCTGAGGGAAGGCGAATTGATTACAGGGCCAGCACGATAGTGGGGCGCTTCGAGGAGGGTCCAGAAAACGACTCTTATAGGTCCGTTTAATTTCGAACCTATCAGCCTTTCAGTTGCTAGGCGGTTTACCCGCTCCTTATGCGGCTCTTGATTACTAACACAGAAGCCACTGGACGAGTACATAGTCAAAATCTACACAAGTATTCCAAAACGAGCGATAGTCAGTCGTTGATCTGCACCGTCTCTAACTGATAGCGATGTGATCAGTTTGGGTCCACGTCTGGCACTCTTCTGGAGGACACCATATAGTCAGATGACGGGTTATTTCGGAAGTTATTTCAGCACATAGCTGAAGCAATCGTTAGCCATTTTCCCTATGTATCGAGTCCAATCTAAGTCGGCCACTTAATTCTCAGATGCTCTAAGCCTGCCTACTTGTGCATTCAGATCTGCGGCAGTCTGTCGGAACGCCCACCGTAACGGGCCATTGAACGTGTCACAAAGCTTGTCTTTGATGGTGGGGTGTAGGCAGACATGACTAACAGACAACGATCAACTTCCCGGTTACCTAGGTCGAAAAAGGTTTGATTGAGATACTCCACCTTGAGCCTTTGACTCAAATGTCTGGTCCACAAGGCAGTGGGGACCCTTCCCTTAGCCTCTGTCTCAAGAGTGTGGTTTTTGAGGCCGACCTTTTCTAACCCGTTCTTCCTAGGGCAAGGGTAGTATCGCTGCTTCCAAAAAATCATGGACATGCTTGTCCCTTGGGGGGGGGGAACACCTAACCGCCTTCGCACTCTTATCACAGAGGATAGTACGGCTTTACTTCCAGACTGCCTCGCAATACGATTACTCGCAGTACGTAAACTCACTCCCCTTCGCCAGGCTGCTCGTTGGCCTTCCTGGCATGATTGAACCTTTAGGATTCCTCTAGGAATTAAAACTAGCCGGAGATGAGATTGTCTTTTGAATCCGAAAGGCCAGGGCAGATTTTGCTAACCTTCGGCACCTATGGCACCGAAGTGACGTCAGTTTGTCAAGGGAATTGTTTGCACTGCGATGATGCGATCCATTCCGCTTTGCGGATCAGAAACATGGCCTCCACTCGCAGAGGAAATACGGAAGGTGTCACTGTTTGACCATCAGTATCTCCGAAGCATTGGTCAGATCTAGTGGGAACATCGGATTAGCAATGATGAGTTACGCCAGATGGTTTTAAGAAGAAGGAACTCTTCCGCAATAGATGAATTACCAACGCTTCATAGGTTACGCTGGTTAGAACAAGTACTCCGTATGCCAGAAGACTGTCTGCCTCGCAGAGCTTTTTTCGCCGAGCCCGTGTTGAGTGCGATGATGCGATCCATTCCGCTTTGCGGATCAGAAACATGGCCTCCACTCGCAGAGGAAATACGGAAGGTGTCACTGTTTGACCATCAGTATCTCCGAAGCATTGGTCAGATCTAGTGGGAACATCGGATTAGCAATGATGAGTTACGCCAGATGGTTTTAAGAAGAAGGAACTCTTCCGCAATAGATGAATTACCAACGCTTCATAGGTTACGCTGGTTAGAACAAGTACTCCGTATGCCAGAAGACTGTCTGCCTCGCAGAGCTTTTTTCGCCGAGCCCTGTGTTGAGTGGAAGCCACCTAGTGGTGAACAATGTATGACTTGTTAACGAAGCATGAAAACAGTAACCAGTAAACGTAGTCGGGTCGACACCTACCGCCTCCCCGAATGGGGACCCCGGGATTCAAATCACCAATGGTTAATGACACTAGTAGAAATAGATAATCGCGCGGTCAGTGGCGCTAATGAATCAAAGCTATCGCCTTCAATGCAATGCTACCCAGTTCCCGAACTAACTAAGTGTGCTGTCGCCTCCAATGCGTCACTGTGTCCCACACTGTCCCGTTTTCCGGTGATTGAAACTGCAGCAGTTGGAACGAATGTACATATAGTACATGGTTTATAGCTGATAAACTGAACTGAATTGGCAAGTCAAGAAACGATCATTTAGCCCGGTGACTTAGAACGATGTTCTTCCCTGCACATCCTGCCGCAGCGGCTTCTGGATTGTCCGAGGTGCGCAGTGGGTAGCAAGTGGAGAGTGACGAGGCAGTTGGTTCAACTACGAAGGGCGACATGGCTCAAATGTTTATATTCCGAATTTACTGACCATAAGGTCCGTGGTTCGAACCCGACCTCTGCCTCTCGACTTCCCCCGCCTAGGCTTCGGCAGCCTGGCAGTATCCCAGCCTTCGTGCTTCTTTCGGGTGGCATGGCAGCTAGGTACCGGAAAGGTGTTACAGACGAACGATTCATTTTGTTTTAGCTCAACCACTGTGCTTGCATCTTAACTTCTTGTTCCTGATACAAAGAAAAAGTAGTCCTAGTTGTGCCTATTTGTCGTGCTGTCCGAAGGGAGCGGTAAGGATGAAATAGATGAGATACTTTCAGGTTGCTCAAGTCTTGATGCAGAGGTTTGGTTCCGATCGCAGACCTTCCGGTCAGTAAGTTCGCCCCCTAACCACTGAGCCTCCTCGGCTCAGTAGTGTGTTGAAATATCGCCTATCGAGACGAGTATTATTCTCGGACCATTCTCGGGTACTATTCTCCGAATAGCGCTAGGTGCAAGGTGGAAAACTTTTGACTCTGCAAAAGGGTGTGAAACAGATCTTGAAGAGTTTGTTTTTGGTACCGTTCGCGTTCCAGGGTGGGATTCCAATAAATCTCTTGCTCTTGACTTGAGACATTGCAAGAGACGATGACCCGTCATGACACTTGAGTGAACAAAGGAATCCGCTTATTTCCGAAACCGTCGGGGGTTCCAGGTTCACTACGTGGGGCTGCGTTGCAGGTCAGAAATCCGGGCTGAACCACAGCGGATGGGTTGTTGTTAAGTCATTCAAACCAACGATTCGTCTATTAGTCTTTTTTAGAGATAAGTAATCCAGTGCTCTCGGTGATTGTTTCGCTCATCGGATGCCTGTTTGGGCCTGGTGCGCGCATCTGTTGGAACAACTTCCGTACATACCCAGAGTGTCATCTGACCTTCTCACTTTCTGAACCCACTAGGTTTATTGATCATTCGCGGATTCTTTTTCTCATTTGAGATCTGACAGTTCGTTTAGGTGCATTGAACTCTCGACCAGTAGGACTATGTGCGGAGCTTGGTGATCCAGTGCTTGGATCTAGTTGACTTTGTGGTTCCACAAGCGGAGTGCCAAGCATCTTACAGGGTTACCGACAGTATCTTTTAGTAGGAGTTAACATCACAAGGCGCCAGTAGGGAAATCAGTGGGTGGACTTGATAGTCGTGCTTCGCATCAGAGTCTGAGAGTTTCTCAATGACTAGTACTAGTGCAGTTAAGATCAGGCGTTCTCATCCTGGGTGGGTGGACTTGATAGTCGTGCTTCGCATCAGAGTCTGAGAGTTTCTCAATGACTAGTACTAGTGCAGTTAAGATCAGGCGTTCCTCATCCTGGTAGGCGAGTAGCGCCGACAGCACCCAAACGCTTCTTATCCCTCTACCAGGTGAAGGGCTGACCACCTGTCTGGTTCCGGCACTCTAATTTGAGCATGAAAAAACAGCAGTTGCTCCGGCTAACGATGGTTAGGCATACACAACACATCTCCCAACCAAAGCTGTCCTGTAAACCTTGTTCAATGGGAGTCCCTGTTGCACAACCGAAAATTCGCTTTTTAATTGTCTCGTTACGAATTAGCCGAGACCAACCCACACAAGCTATGGTCCTGAGACAACTGTTGTTGGACACCTGAAGACGTCTCAGTTCCGCCGCTTGAACAGGCCAAGTCTCACATCCATAAAACAACCAGCATTCAACGAGGTTAATCTTCTAGTATTTGGTGATGATGACCTTGTATATGTTTTGGAATACTTCTAGGATCTGTTCTTTCATTCCAGCGTATGTCACTGACCTGTGGACAAGCACCTCACACCACTTCGGCAGATTCTCCTGCAGTTGATAAAACCTCTGTCAGTGAAACCTCTCAACCAATCCAACATATTGTCATTCCTGAAGCAGAATTGCTTGAACTACCACTTCCTACTTATTGTTGCGAACTGTGCGGTTTAACAGTGAAGACTAAGGCTAATCTTAGGGCTCATCATGTTAAGACGCACAGAATTCTGAAGGTAGTATCCGCTTTCTCACCCACTGATCCGCTCAAATGAAAACCGCGTAGAATGAGGCTGATGTTGCATTTTTCACAAAACAAAAAAACCATGTTACTTATGTCTATCATTGTCCCATCGTTCCGTGTAAACACAACGTGGGTTTTGATGCCGGATTTAGTACGTGTTCTCGACTGAAACAAGTAAGTCTTCTGTTCATCAAAATCTTACAAATGAACTTTCACCGTCATAGCACTATCAAAATGTACATATGCGGAAGACCTACAAGTGCGAACGGTGTGGAGGCTTGTTTTCCACACCATCCAGTCATGCATACCACCTGCGTTTCTGTGGGAATGTATTTTCATGTCCCGTCTGTTCGAGACACTATTCTCTAAAAAAGCATCTCGGGCAGCACTTTCGGCGAACTGGCCATCGTCCGGTCATTAAACCATCCGGATGCAGTAAGCGAGCTACCAGCAGAGGTAATCAGTGTGAGTCGGTGAGGCCAAAGCGACAGCCTGAACCCACCAATAAGATAGCTGTGCCACCACCTGGTGCTTTTCAACAGGCACAAGCTCAACAATCTTCAGCTCCTATTTTGGTTCCCGTAATCATTTTGCCAGTGCCTGTTTTCGGTCCAGGTGCTGCCAACCTGCAGGCGCAACCGAATGCGAACGCCACGTTGTCTTGGAAGCCAAATGCGCAGACACCCCTGACTCTGCCTCCCGGTTTTGCACTTCCTGCCGCTCTCGGATCCGCTCTGAGTACGAACTACCTGACCTCGTTCTTACACTCTGTGACGACGTCTGTAAGTTTTGACATTTTCACCATTCAGAGCTGTTACTTTTGATGATAATTTCCATCTATATCATTCAGAGCTACTCTTCGATTGCACCATAGAGAGAAGAGAATCTTGTAGTTTTAAAGCTTTCGAACTTACATTCGGTTGTTGCTTCAAAATCAGCCAGTTGTACTATGCACTGGATCATTATACACATTATGTCATTTATACAGGAGTATTGCACCAGTTATTGTTTGATTTTCAGTCACAAAGTGGCGACCATAAATCTGGATAGCATGGTTTATTTTTGAACTTCCGAGTTATCTGCTTCAAAGTACTCTATTAGGATACAACCCTACCTAGGCTTGGGCAACCTGGCAGTATCCCAGCCCTCGTGCAACCTTCGGGTGGCACGTCAGCTAGGCACCGAAAGGGTGTTAAAGCTGAACGATTTTTTTTATCAGGATACAAATGGAAGTTCCTCATGCTGCTGACATCAGGATGACCAACAAAAATTCGACAGCTGGTTAATAGATGTCAAGATGGAACTCGAATTAGCTCAGTGGTTAAGGCGCGAAACAGCTGACCAACCGGAAGAACTGTCGTTAGAACTCAGCCTGCCGCTGTCTAGATTTGGGCAACCTGATGGCATCTCAGCCTCCATGCTTCCCTCGAATCTCACGGCAGTTATGCGTGCTGCAGTTAAGACAGTTGAGCCCAGCATAACTCACTGGTTAAAACGTGAACTCACTGAATGAGATACTTGGATTTTGGGTCGCCCCTGTCTAGGCTTAGGCGACCTAACGGTGTATCAACCCTTCCTTTGGGTACCATGACAGCTAAAGACCGAAAAGCTGTTACAGCTGAGTGATTATTACCACTACTTTTTTGGTCAGTATCATCACGTGAGGCATTAAACCTGGCTGTGTGATCCGGTGGATGTCAAAGTCAACTGATCTATCTTCATTTCGGCGAATTCTAGCTAAATTTCAGCTTGAATACTGATAACTAACCCGATTATATTTCAAGATTCTCTAAGTTACTGAAAAACCTGAAAACTGTAATTAACGAAATGTGTGTTATACTTGCATATACATCAGGTTGGAGAAACAGCTGTTTTCATGGATCGTTCGCTGAAAATCATTTTTGTTAATTTGTAGCAGTCGCTAGCAAATACCATTTTCCAGTGACCGTTTGGTATAACAATTCTTTGTTCTCAACATACTCGAACAATTGTTTACCTTGTTCGTCGTAGGTTTTGCTTCCCAATGTAAAACTTGTGCCCAGTTCCTTGCAGACAACAGCAGCAATATAACTGGTCATCTACAGGTCACAACGGAATATCATCCTGCCGACAGAACCCGTATAAAACAAGCGTGATACTACTTGACGTCTGGATATCGGTGCACCGAAAAACTGCGATGCACTAGTACGCACTAGTAACACACTGTTGTTTGATAAATAAGCGTATTCAATTAAATAACCAAGTTCAGCGAACTACGCAGCCTGGGCTATCAACGTCTTACACCGCATCAAACTGCGCAGTTCCAGTAAGAAAAGTCGGATGGCTGTCATTACCCCACCCCCAGTTGGATTAAATGAATTTTTGTCTACGTGTGCAGCTCTAGTATTACTCAGCGCCATTTTTCCTCTTATGAGCATTCAAATCTGCCTTTACACAAACTGGCAACAATGAAGTCCAGGTAAGTAAAATTCCAACCAACTGTCGATTAAAATAAGGTATTGACGTCGAGCTATCAAACCATAATTTATCTTTCTGTGTGGCTGGCGTGGATTCTCGCTGCAAGTTACTGGTTCTGATGAATGTTTTCCAACACTTTTCTTTCTAGCTTGCACAACCCACTTATCTAGATGCTTCTGATCAATTCGAAGCCCTTCAATCAACGCCCGTTCCAGCTCCAGTCGTTGATACTGGAACGCAAACAGAAGTTAGTGTACCACCGCAAGGATCCACAGATGCTATCACGACAACCTCAGTCAATACATGTACAGATGAAGATGATATCACCGCTTTTATTGGCAGTTTATTCTGTGATGCCAGCGTCGAGACTAATTTTCCACCATCAGGAGTCACCAGCGGTACGTTTCAGGATTTCTATCGTCTCTTGTTTAGTCACGAGGTCTCCCGATTCCGGTTTGGTCACACAGAGATTTTCCAGTTCCATTTTGTGTGTCACAATAAAAGAACATCTCTCCACGAGGCGTAGAAAATGGAGTTAGTGCTTCTCAGTTGTCAGCTTCAATTCCGATTGCTATCTCTGGCAGTACGACCCCGTCCGTCACTAAGTGGAAGTTTGGAGTCCACTTCGGCCCCCTAACCAACTCTCAGGCGTCAGTAATAGCTTGGTATCTCTTCAAGGTAGAAATGTTCCATGTCTGCCACAAACAAACCAAAGGATATCTCCCACTCACATCCTTTCTTTGTTAGAAAATCGATGTGTGCTGTCTAAGAAACTTACGTGTTAGACCGTACTGCAGTATTGTATCTCAACATGGCGCAGGTAAGCTCAGTTTCGGACTGTGTTGCTCTTCAACTATCAGGTAACTCAGAGGCGGCGTCTCGTTATTTCAGTCATACGGGTATATGTTAATCATGTGAGCTGACTTGTGCGTGCTCGGATTTCTATTAACAGTCCATTATGCACAGTCAGACTGGCCAGATGTGTTAGGATCTCTAATCAACGATCAGAAACGCGGACTATACTTATTGTCTCTTCACAGGTCCGCTTTATGATGAACTTTCCTGGTTTCTTCGACCGTCAAATTGCATGGATGTCACTATTCCGGCCGACAATCTTCTCACCCAGTTTATACGTTTCCTTACTCTGGATTAACCTCTCTTGGTCAGGATTATTCAGTTTTAGAAATGTCTCACCAGAGTTTTCTTGATAGCAGATATGGGTATTCGAACAACTCTGCTGATCGCCTTTTTATTGCATTCAGAGGGCTTCGACACAAAAGTGAGCGTCGCGTTGTATGGAGCCCTAGCTGTAACCAATTTTGCCCGCAGATCAACCTCACAGATGTAAATAGGCTGACCAAGTCAGACCAATCCCCAATTCGCACCAATGTAACAGATCGTCTATTTAAAATAAGTCGTCTGTAAGATGTAGCCTTCAGGAAGTCTGACAGCGGCAACTGTCTAGAAACCAGTCGATGATGGAATAGGCCGGTCCATTGAGTGAGGGATGAATCGATGTTCGAAACTCTATAAACCTCGTATTCGGCTTTGCAAATCCCGAAACTACCTCACGACCCAGAGCGATCCATATCTTCGATTCAAGAAGGAAGGAAAACAACACGATTCACCAGGTTTTTGGGACAAGACATGCTCCACAGTCGCAAAACCGATTGGGAGAAGTGGAGACTAAAGAAGGTTCAAGGGATGAATAAGGCGAAGACCTTTGGAGCCAGTCCAACTTTCTTCCTACTTATCCGGTATGCCAAGCCAAGAGAATCGCCGTTCGGTTATAGAAATTCCGTCATCTGTTTCAGTAGGTCAGACATCTCGAAAACTAGATTAACCGGCTTTTAACTCTTCGGATGACTTGTCGTCAGCGATTTCACAATAGAATGTGGACCGTGTGATTTCAACGTAGAAGGTTAAAAACGAAATGGAACTTGTGAATTCAACCTTCAAAAGAAGCATCACAGCAGGTTTCGACTGCTTTCTGTCTTGTTGGAGGATGGAGAGGAAATGTTGATTTGCAGTCTAGCAAGACTGGTGTGTGATATGTCGGGGATGAATGGGAAGCGTCAGACATACCATAGTTTCTGTTGTTTAAGGAAGACGACGGATCTGAATGTGGGAATCATTGTGTACCAATCTAATCACCATCGCCCCTAAGGTGTTCACAGTTGTCATGCTACGTGGATGTACCAGCACTTACAGCAAGCAGCCCTGTAAACCGGGAGGGGTTTCTTCCGGATGGGGATACACTTACTACACCTTTACAGTCTATTAGAAAATGACGTAGAAATCCACCAGCTCCTATATTCTTGGATCTTGACTCAGCTGCTTCGTTCCGGTGCCCATCCCTTAGAATTGTTAACATTAATTGCAATTCTCTTTTTTTGTTTTTCGATACCTCAGTAATTGACAGTTCTCAGTATAACATGGTGTCGTCATCAAACAAGTCCGTCAACTGTCTTACACTGATTCGGTGGTCCTCTATCCTTTTGTTTTTGTTTTCTGCAAACGCGACCCCCCATTTAGCTCTTGTAATGACCCAAACTATCTTACCTTCGTGCACTTTACACGATTTTCACACTGAGCTGACCTGGGCTGATTGATTTTCATTCTAGATTGTGACCTAGTTTTATTTAACACACCGTTGTGTGCCATCATCTTAATGTGGCTTGGGGTTGAAGGCCCTTTAGAATCTACGATCGATTTTTCAGCGACTGTTGTCTAAACTTGAGCAGCCTGGTGTTTTCTCCGGGTCACACCGGGAAGGCGTCACACGGACCATCATGGATATCATTTTCCTCAAATGTACTCAATTTTAGCGGTAATAACACCACATATTTCTAGTTAGGCAAACAAAATCCATTATCAGCTCCTTTTTGTTTCTTAGGGTTCAACGATCCTTCGTCTGCGGCGGACTTAGATAGTCTTGTGCCCTTAGTTCCTCGCCGCGTCCGTCCAGCTTCCACTGCATCCAGCGATCCTGTAAGTGTTGATTGTCATCTGGATTTCAAGGCTTCCAGTCCAGTTAAACTGTCTACGTTCTCCGTGACTGATGAAGAAGTTCAAACAAGTATGATGGTTTCGTTAGAAAATGTCGCTATGCAAACTGATGGTATCAAAAAGACGCACGTATCAGCTGGCACATGTAACTTCCCTCCCACACGTTGGGTTCGGGGTTGTTCCATGAGAGAATCGCTCGAGACTCCGCCGCCACTCATGGGCAACTCCGAACATGCCCGCTTGTCCTCCGAAAAACTTCCGAACTTTTCAAATAGATCCGAACGGTCTAGTTCCTGCACTGTAGGTAAGTAGGTCTTTTTCATGATTATTGTTTTATGTAGTCTACGTACACGCATGTGTGATTTTTGTTGCCGGAGAATATCCACTCAGTCCAGTGTTCTACATATTCTGTGCTTGCTGTTGGAGTTATCAGTATCTAACCACTGAGTGACATGAATATGAGCAAATATAAACTGTTGTCCCAATCACGCATACTTTCTGCAAGTATACATGATCGGTGTACCTGTGAATGATACATCTCATTCAATTCTGCAACACTAGCCTATTCGTTTTGTACCATCAGATTATTGCTTGATTTGATTTTCCGCTGCATTACTTTGTCCACTCAGTGTCGAGTGACCCACCTGCACTCTATCTCTGGCCATAGGTTTCTCTCTTTGCCTTGACGTGCAGCTATCTGGGGCATGCGAAGCTCGTTTGGTTTCCATAACGTGTCAGCTATGGTTCATTTATACCCTCTCTCTGACTCTTGCATAGACTTGAGCTGCGGGTACTTCAGTACACGTCACCCTCAACAATATCGGACCACTGCCATCGTCACGTTTTTCGTCAATCCCGTTAATAGAGTTGAATGTTCAACCAACCCCGTTAAAAACAGTTCGTCCAGAACACATTCAGTAGTTGTTTCTTGAAGGATGAATGAGAATTGGACTGTCAGTACTCTGCTCCAACCTGAACAGAGTCAATCAAATACACGAGCGTCAGTCGGTAGCTGGTTTTTCAAGCCCATGAGTTTCTCGAACACTTGGGATCTTCAGGCGTATCGCTGTATCGCAGTACTGGTTGGATCAATAAACTAGAGAGACTCGGTCGAATCTGTGTGTTTGCCAAACGCATGAAAAAATATTGTAATGTGACTTGTCGAGGAATCTTTCAGTGTCCATTTTGTACTTAAAGTCGCTGGTACATCAGTCAGTGAGTATAGCTACAGTAGACGCAGCCTACTGGTCCTCCAATTTCGAGTTTAATATGTTTTACTATGCAATCAACCGAAGTTCCGTCTCGCAATCAGGCTCTTGACGTGCTTAGCTCAAAATGGGTCGGCAGTTTGGCGTATTATTCCATCGCGTATTGTGGGCGATTAGTAGCACGGACGCGTTATACCTCAGATGACGGAAGCTAAAAATCAGTAAAATTTTTTCATGTTGCTGTAGCAAACTGTTAGGGGTTTCACGGTTGGACTCCAATATGGAGTGCTCATTATTTCTGGTTTTCTGGTACCATATAAATTTGTTATATATTCGCCAAGAGGAATAATCACAGAAAACAAGCTACCTTCATTGTTCTCCTGACTTCCACGGGTCTATTCAGCTACCCATTGCATTATTGTCGACGACAAGCCTATACTTATGGTTAAATTACTAATTACCATTAACTAATTACGCTCAATCGTTCCGGTCCATGCAACCAGATTGGTTTCACAGGCAAAGGCTAGTCGTGATCACAAAACGAGATCGATACAACTGGCATGTCTACAATCCTACGAAAATGATCGTTGGTTGGTTCGTTGAGCTGAGCTGAGCAATTCGATTGCGAACGTTTCATCACCAATGGACATGACATCATGATTGCTTTGTTGTGGAGCGTAATGGAGCGTAGTGATGGATCGGTAGTTGTGGAGTTGAATTCTAACTGTGCTTTCATTACTCAGAAATATGCATGGGATTTATTAAAAGAATTTAAGGGGTTCCCTAATCTAGGCTACCGGGAAAAAGAGTCAATATTCTTACGTGTTTGGGTGTTTTTCTGATTGGTAGTCGCGGTAAAGGATTGTGTGAGCACTGTCAAAGGACAAGGTGTCACTTTTGGACGGATAAATATGAAAGATATTCGCGCTGAAAGAGTATGACAACTAAGCACTTGTTTACGTAGCTCGTTTCAAGGGGTAAATGCACTCATTTGCAAATTACGTTGGTGTGGACTGGATACTTAACTGAACCTTCTTTGACATTCTTCAAAAGGCTTCTGTAAGATAGCACGAACCGCTTCTGATGTTCTTGCGTAAAAGACGAATACTGTACGCCTCGAATTTCATTTAACACGACTGTAGGCCTTCAGTGCAGGTCGATATTCACTGAAATGTTTCGAGCACACCGATTAATGTTGATGGCATTTACAACTGTTTCCCGCCAAACACCCAGCATGTGTGTGTCTCGTTATGTGCGTCTCTGTGTGTTGTGCATTGCTTATCTGTGTTAATCACTTACACTGAATGTACAGGTCGTTGTGGAGTCTGCGAGGTGTGGGCTCTGTGTGGAGTGCAGGAGCCGGCTGCGCATATTTACATATTTGTGTGCATGTGTGAGTTCATGTGTGCAACCAGTACGTACACACCTAGATCACTTTGCTTTTAAGTTGCGGATTTCATTGTTCTTAAGCTATGTATGCCAGACTCGTCCCTTCTGATGTTCGCATTGATTTAGGAAAGCACCTAATCTTAGGTCCTAGTGCTTTCGAGTGAAATTCGTAAGTGGATGCGCATAGTGTTTTGTAACTCCTCGTCTAGCTGGCGGAGATTTGGGTTTCAGTTTGGTATGCAGTCTGTCTGTCTTTTGGGTCCTTAGTTGGGGACAGCTGAATTTCATAGTGAATTCGGTCGTCCTGTCAACTAACCAATGGCTGTTTGAGGACATGATTCTACTGACTCAGAATTTTATGTACATTGGAACATCTCATAAGGCTAAACTCTTCAGGAAACAAACGAAATTCACAGATCTCATCCATGGCCTCATCACAGAGCTACTCTTTTTTACTCTAATGAATGGAATCAGTGTTTTTATTCTGTCTACTTTTGTTGAACCACTGGACAGTCCCTTGCAAGAGAACATGCCGAAGGAGGGTGAGTAGTGTTGAATATCATTCCAACTGAAGCTTGAGATGGTCTTTGTGCAGATTCATGCAAAGTGTATTCTAAACAGCTGGTTGCAGCCGAGTCTCCGGCCCATAGGAACTCAGTTTACAGATGAGTGTTTATCACATCATGCATATGATTCGTTGCTCAAGTAGGAAACAAGGTACCTGGAAACTGTTCGACAGTTCACTATCAGTTATCAGATAGATAATGTCTCCGAGTTTCCCTCAATCGTATCTCCTATTTGAACCGCAGATTGTGTGCAACTGGCAAAGTACGATCATTTACAACTTACATTGGGGTTGACGAGATTCAACTGAAGCTCTTGTGTATGGTGTCATTCAACTGAATAGGTTGCACAAAGCTCACCTCATGTTTCAGTTCATACGATAGTCTTGATGCCGAAGTATATTTCCTAGAAATAACAGCACACAGTAACGAGAAATTCGGTTCCTTTCCCCCCTTCGGTAGCACGTTGCTTTCGCACAACAGGAATCCTAAAACACATTCCTACTCATTGCTCTTGGGCTATCGATGGTGGAGCCTATTTATGCACTTCTTAATGTCAATCCAACTCCGTGCGGCGTGTATGTTTATGGTTAACTGATGTGTTTCTGTTCCCCCTGTCCATTGAGGAGGAGCGGCCAGTATCACGTCCAAGAAAAACAAACTTTCTGGATTTGCTGAATTTCCTTTGTTCATAAGTCTGTTTTGAAAACTCCTATCTTTCCCAATATATTTTTTCTTTATTCCACAGTAGAGAAGTTAAAATTTGCTGAGCGGTTTAGCAGTGAGGAATTGAGCTGTTGTCGCTCTAACGTGTGGGCGAGATGACCCAAGTGGTTAGAGCGCGAATTTACTGACCGGAAGGTCCGTGGTTCGAACCCGACCTCTGCCTCTCGACTCCCCTGTCTAGGCTTGGACAACCTGGCAGTATCCCAGACTTCGTGCAACCTTCAGGTGACATGGCACTTGGGCACCGAAAGGGTGCTACAGCTAGACAGCTGTTCTTACGTGTAAGATTTGCGATTTACCACTTCTGTTACAGGACGCGTCTGAATTGTCACCTGTGAACAAGAAGCCTGCCCCGAGTGGGTTGGTCAAGCTAGGGTTAACCAAGATAATTGGTTTCTTTCAACTCACCACGCGCGTTGTTCAAGCGCGAACTTTTTCATTTGTTCAAATGAAATCGCTCATTTCGGGTGACCGCATTTCTACTCTCGATGTGGTCTAGCATATGTACTTCTGAAGATTTGTACTGGTGCTCCCCTCCTAACTTGAGCCAACCAGAATAATCCTACACAGAGGGGAGAAATAGAGCCGATAGGACGGATGTATATATGTTGGACATTTCTCGTGAATCCTGACCTTAATATATGATAAAACGCAACGGTGAGTGGGATCATCGGGTACCGTAAGCTATCCGTGCTTGTTGTCCTTACCTTGCATTAACTGTTGAACCTTTGCCACTCAGGGTTTACCAATCTGTTAACTGGTTTGTTAAATTTTGAGCCGTATCCAGAATGCTTTTGGACAAGAGATCACGTTTGACACTTTTTCATCTGAAGATTCTACACCTGTAGCAATATCTGCTAGTCCCTGTCAGAGTACCTGGACAATTTCACCAGCATCTGGTTTGGTTTTCAAAGTTTAGCGAGGACGAGTTAGAAGTAAGTTGCCAACAAAGCAGTCCTGGACGTGTCTACTGCAGTAAACCAATCGATGCGAGCAGCGCTTCGTCTACCGTAGTGTTATGAGAACGAACTGCTCCATTCCCCTATCTACACGTAACACCTAACGCAAGTACCATAACACCATTGAAGCTGGGATTCCCCTGAGGGTAACATACTGATATCACCTAAGAGGTACCTCCCCCGTCGGGATTTAGCTAGGATTCTCTACCTGGCGAACCAAACTCTGCTGACCTTATAGCGCATGTTTTTCTATCTCACGAACTTAGAGCAACCCGAAGTCCTGGAACACTCCATCCCACCCATTTCGGCCCTGCTCAATCCACAGAAGTCCCGTAACCCATGCGTTAGCATAACTCATCTGGCTCAAAAGGAGAGCCAGTCTTGCGAGTTCTTGTCAACAGCGTTCAACAATTCTGATCAGTTTGGTGACTCATACTTTCCTTCTTCGCAATCAATCGGACTGCAGTCTTCCCCGTGGCCTTCGTCACGTACTTACAGTTCAATGGAAACGCAAACATTCTCGGACGACTTGGAATCATGGCTGAACAGTGTTCACACACAAACGTCCTCATCGGTTTTCGGATTGGCTTCGTTTGCAGATATGGCTGTCGGAGTTGACGAGGATTTTCTAACCGCTGCCCTTGCGACCGTGGAAGGTGATAAATGATGGTGTTCCATCCAGATCTCCCTAAAGTATTCTGTGATCCGCTATGTTTTCATTACCAGTGCCATGATATCTCTTGAACCCATACTTGAACAGTCCCTACCGAAACATCGAAACATATAATGGGCTAACACTCTCTTTTCGTCTTCAATTCACCTCATCGCTTGTTTTTTCCTTGTTGTAGTCCATTACTCGCTGTACAGATATTCGTATATCAAACATGCACATGACTGTTTCGGGCACCGATTGGCTTCGCACATTCCATTAGGTTTCCAGAGGGACTACCAACTATTGATTTGTAAATACGTATCTTTACAACAGTAATCTAGTAGTGTTAAAAATATTTTTCCTATGCATATCTGTTGCGTTTTGGATTCTTCATGATTCTACAGCAAAAAGCCTTCTCTTATGGACGCACTTGTCAAGCTGCTGACACCTGCTTGAAGCTAATCAGTCTAAGAACCACACGATAATGCAAATGGTATCTTTCAGTATTTTAAAAAGGTTCACTGCGGCATGTCTGATGATAGTCTGACCTCTTCCGGATGGTTGTTTTTAACGTAGACGAAAACACGTAACTAAATATCCCATTTCTCACCTGAATTTATTTATATTCAGGTGCTGCAATCGCAGGTGAAACATGTTACACTGACTGATGTGTTGATGGGCAGAAGGGATATGCTGCGGATGAAATTTAGTTCGATTCTCCACCAATGTACCGGACTGACGTCCAAGTCTATGATATCGAATTGAAACGAAGGCGAATATCTTTCAGGCATTAGCAATTTGATAGTTTTCAACCTCCCCTCCCCGTGTCAACGTCCGATTTTAATCCAAGGCAACAATAGGCATTCACTGTCTGGCGTATAGGAAGGACATATTGTTACACAACTACTGCCTGAATACTCTAGATGAAGTAAAACAGCAACCTCAGTTCAGCCGTTGACCGAGAATTAGGATTGGAACGAACGGTTCATTTTGACTGTCAGTCAGTGCACACAAGGCGCTAAAAGTTCAGGTTATATATGTGCTACCGATGGAACGTTCGCTTTCCGGGAGTGCCTTCAGTTGATTTCCTACTTATCTGTTAATGGTGCTGATAACTTTTATGGGCTATCTGATATTCTTCAAGTTAGTTCAAAAGCATTGGTTCCGGGTTAGCGCATCGGGAAACCCGAATAAGTGTAGTCATACAAAAACTTGACATCCGTTTTTGCGAAACTGTAGGGGTAAATGGGTTGAAGACATCTCCGTTTTTAGATTTGTTTCGATTTTGGAAATAATCTTATCCAGCAATGACCCTTCGAAGGTCGCTCAGAATCTGGCCTTCCGTAAAGCCCTCACGTTTACTTAATTTCGTTAAAGACAACAACGAACATGTCGGTTGTGGATGGTGGGTGTTGGGCGAAGAGCTGTAAGGGTGTCTGCTTGTTCTTGATTGCCCATGCAGAAAGGATATTGTTTGAGATACTACCTCTGGTTGTTGGCCCAAAGGTCTGACTCATAAGAAGCGTGAAGCTGTGTAATTTGTTTCGCAAGCACCAGCCCCCGGATCTAACAGTCTGATTTTCAAGTCAGCTTGTAGGATACTTCGACGTATATAGGAAAGCCCAATTGGGTGACGCGAAAAATCACAAGCCAGAAATTGTAGATTCTTGAGACTTATCAAAAGGTGCGGTACTACATGTATAGAATACGTAACAAAAGGGGTACAAACCTCGAATTATGGGGGTTTCCGGCTAAACTGTTGCACAAAGTAGTGCAAGTTCAAAGAAAGCCCGGAGGAGATGGCAAATCGATCTCAGTTTGCGACGCACGCCTGGGTACAACACGTAACGCAAAATGGTCAAAAAGCGCGCGTAAAGAATGGCTGACCTAATTGGTTCGACAAGTCAAGGGTTAAAAGTTCATGAGGGATTACAAATGCATATCGAGTCTATGAGGCAGACGCAGTAAACAGCAGCAGACAAGGGAATAGTTTGACCGGGGGAAAGGAAGTACACAGCTGTTGTTGGTGCTTTTTGGCAACACCGGCTTGGAGGCAAGGACACGTTGGTTCAGCCCTCTGAGGGATGCTGGTGTAATCCGGTGGCCTAGGAAGCGCCTTGACCTATGCTAAAAACGGATCCAGACTATTGTGTGACATGACTATAATACTGTTTTTTCGGCTGCCAGTGGTAGTTCCGCGCAACATTTTCATTTTGCATAGTATCCCTCAGTTCCGGAACGCTGATTGGGTGGTTGTCGCCTAAGATCACAGGATCGGGTAGAACTCGGTTTAACTGACCTTACCTTCCTTACCTATTCACTACTTTCCAAGTGTTCTGGACGTTGGTAGGTGGGTGTCAAATAACAGATCGCGGTGTTTTCAATGTTTCCCCTAAAAGATCACTAGTTCTTGGAAAGGGACTCATTCTGTGACCGGAAACCCAATAGGCTATTAGAGCACGTTTTGTTTCATGGCTAATGTGTTCAGTACCCACGATGTATATGGGAAAATTCTGCATCGGCCTGTCGTCGAATTTCCCATCAATATCAGCTAGGTAAATAAATGCAAATACATTCATTAGCCAAAGCCCTTGCGTCCAAACTTTCACAGTGACGAGCACATTTGAGAAAGTGAGAAATCAGATTAGCAAGGTGTACGAAATGTTCGCATGGAGGGAGTGCCTCTTCGCCTGCGACACGAGTTTAATCGTGGTTCTGTTGGGATACTACAGCTGATGTGTCCTTGTTCAGTGGACATGCCATGTTGGCCTTAATTGGCTTTCACGTCACGTGTTTGTTTGTTGGTGAACTACAGAGTGGGTATCTGATTTTCGTGGTTAGGCAGCAGTATGTAGTAATGGTGGAATATTGTCTACCGTGACTGTCTGTCATTTGTCTATTTGGGACGAATCTTTTCGGACTAAAGATTTGAAGATGTTTTTAGCTTTTTCGAGCTTTTAATTGTCTTATCTGAGGTGAATCACTCTTGCCTAGAATACCTTTTGTTTCGAAGTGACAATTTACAAAAGTTTAATTAGTCTTGTCTATCCTTTTGGTGAGGTCCAAGGATATACTGCCAAATTATTGGGACGGAATCGGAGTTTTTAGCTGCTGCAATCGTCACTTTATTGTTCCACTGGCCTTCCAGGCTTCTGCCAAACTTAGCAGCGAACAACTAATGCTGGGTTAATATTTCAAAGCATTGACGAAGATCAATAATGACGAAAGTGCTCTTGCGAGTCAGGATTTTGGGATCCGTACGGTAAATATTCATCGGAGTTCGAAGTCCATGGGTTGGTAATTGTCAGGCCGGTGATTAATTAGAATAAAGATGATGTATGTAAATATAGCACAGGTGCACAAAGAACCTTTGACGGTCGATTGTACAGACAACTGCAGCCAACAGTCCCATAGGCTCTACGGTTGCTGAAGACTCTGGAAATTAGAGTGCTGAGTGACAGATTACGTTATTCCAAGCGATACGTGAGTTAATTTTTGATGTGTAGGAACTCTGACCGTACAGAAAAGATACTGGGTTGAATATACTGCAACCTAAAATCAATATTCCGATGGAGGCGCAAGAAGATAACAGATCTGTGTTCCGTGTCGTCCTGATTTTTTGGAAATCAGGCCGATGAACCACCAGGACCGTTCATCATAAACTTGACGACGCAGGACAGTTGCGTTGTAAGAAATTCGTTCCAGTTACAACGGAACCCTTTTTTCGTTCACCTTTTTACCCCATGAAGAGTAATGACTTCCGCTTTTGTACGTTCTGTACAGTCAGAGGGAAGAGACATGGTGGGCTTACATGCAATCGTGTAGTCCCGTGAGAATGTCGTCTTCATCTGTGCTTCAATTCCGTTACTGTGAGTTGATGACCAGCCGGACCGGAACTTCTGCCAGAAGTTCACTGATCAGTTTAGTCAGCGGTTGCTTAGATCCAGAATTCGTGGGCTGAATCGAACGGGCCAGGTGCATAAACTAATCGGCAGATGTGGTCCATAGGACACAGTGAAAATACTGTCCAATGGGTCCTAGCCCTTTCCGCCAACGCGAAGGCCTTCGCGCGACTGAAATTTTTGGCCGAATATCGCTTATTCTGTTATGTATTTTAAGGCTATTTCAATAATTACTTGTGCCATATTTGCTTTACCGCTGTGTGTCCGAGTATATAAATCATGGACGTAAGTACAAGATCGGATCAAGTTTGCATCACCACAGTCCTCGAAAACGCGAGAGCGATACGTTCTTTGAGATCTAATGCACTTCCATGAATATGGACATGCTGGTCACCTGGGGGGAACGTTTTAGTGTCTTCACATTCCGATTGCAGAGAGTACTAGGACTTTACCTCCAGATTACTTCGTACGATTAATCACAGTAAGTGGACTCGCTGCTCTTCATCGGGCTGCTCCCCGTTAGCCTCCCTGGTGCGGCTGAACCTTAAGAAATTGAGTTCCAGCCAGTATAGCCTGCTGGATCATTGCAGCATAGAAGTCCGACCACCACGAGAGGGTGAAAGCTTTAGTTCTCATGCCAATGTCTTATTTGTACCATGGATGTACCATGAAACTTACCCGTTTTTTGTTCTACATGAAGACAGCTAGTCAACCACCGCAACAACACCCTATTGGCCCTCCGGTTCTTGGGGTAATCACTTCTGCTCTTTAAGTTTTAACCCTTCATGTGCTGCTGAAAGTGTGCAATTGTAAGCCACTTATATACATGCTTTGGAGGATGTTCTCCCGATTGATTGGACTGGATTTTCGATATAGTTTCACCTGGTGCCGAAAATACCTGATTCTTATTTGCGTTCAACAATCGACCATCGAGGTTCCTACCAGTTTCTTTTACCAAGTATTTGAGCTAAGACAAGAAGGTTCCTAGATCTGGAATGGTAAATCGCTCGCCAGTACTTTAGCGTCGAAGGAGTGTTATGCATAGTTGGTCGCATTTTCGCTATCCGCCTCTAGGCTCCCAGCAATGCGTTGTTGGCGTTGTTATTTATACTACTCATAATGAACTGAGTAACTGGAAATATCAAACGAGGGATGCGCAGCTTTGTTGTACAAGTCCTGAGAAGAGTTAGGTTTATTTCCGCGAATCCGATTGTGCAATATGTAGAAACCTGATTTTCGCTGTCGTCAACGTACAAAGTTGAGTTACTCTGTTGATAGAAGGAGCTGAATTCGATTCTGCATCTAGGGCAGACGAGGCCTAACTAGTACAACAAAACGTGGATAGGCTAGAATGGTAGTCATATTCCCACGGGAATTTAAATCCATTAACCCCTTATTCACGGTACAAAGGATCCTGAAGCGACCCACGCTTCTAGTGCTCCTGTTTCGGGAACTCAACAACCAATCGTGGAGGCGGCTGAAAAAAATCGAGGAAAATATCTCGTTGTAGCTTGGCTCATGTGAGACCTTTAGACGCAAACGTAGTCATTACTTTTACATCGTGACGAACGGCCGGAAGTAAAAAAAATCAACTGCAAGGTAGTGCTGGTAAGATTAACCCCTTATTCACGGTACAAAGGATCCTGAAGCGACCCACGCTTCTAGTGCTCCTGTTTCGGGAACTCAACAACCAATCGTGGAGGCGGCTGAAAAAAATCGAGGAAAATATCTCGTTGTAGCTTGGCTCATGTGAGACCTTTAGACGCAAACGTAGTCATTACTTTTACATCGTGACGAACGGCCGGAAGTAAAAAAAATCAACTGCAAGGTAGATGCTGGTAAGCGGGGAACTGAAAGTGACAAGAATGTATCATGATGTAGACACTGGCGGTATCAAAATGTGACCAGGCATTCGTGTTCCGGAAATAAAAGTTCAACGGGAATTACATGTATGTACACGGTGAAAGTGACGCAGTATGTTAGTTCAAAAGGACACAGCAAAGCAGTCGGGGAAATAAATTACTGGGGATAAATGCATTTTAATCAAAAAAACGAGAATCGGGCACATGAATATGTGTCGCAGGCGTTGACCCGGTACTTGTTTCCTGGCACTGAGGTCTGTAACATAAGAGTGGAACAGTGTGAGACATTGAAGTCGTTCTCCGCTGATCTGGAAGTGCTCCTCGGAGAAGGGAGCACAGGAAGAAGAGCACACAGAAGTACATCACATGGTGTGGTCTTGTGGATAAAGATTGCAAATGTTTGCCTTCGTGGTTTCTATCTTATAAAGCACTGATGGTAAGGGAGGACGAATATATGGATGCGCGCTGAAGGAACGTAAGGCAGGCAATGTAGAATGTAAATAAAGAATGAATCTGACTACTCAGGTAGTTTTTTCGTTTCAGGCGTTGCATTCTCATTTGCGGACGAGTGTGATTGATCATCGGATGGCATATAGGGTTGCATAAAATATTCCAAATTGCTGATACCGAAGTCGCTGATGGTGGAGGGTGTTGGTTGCGTTTGTTGGGTTTTCGGTGTCAGATATTCATCTGAAAATGTGGAGCGCAGCAAATATCGGTAGACAACATATGTGCCGATGAAAAGAATCTTTTGGTAAGAAGTCAGAGAGATTACATGTGTCTCTGCAAGCATACCAGTACCGACCAAATAGTTACAGGGTTAATTGAACCACCACAACAGCCGATGATCGAGTAGCAGAAGCAGTACTACTTATGGTTCCTAACTGGAGAAAAACACCAAATTCAGCTGCGCAAATCCAGTTTACATGATGGAGAAACTTGAGGCTATATTAATGGACATCCCAGCCAGCTATCCCAACCTTTCCACAAACTGAAAACGTCTCGGCTCATCTGATATCACTTTATTTATTTTGGTGCCTTTATTCTGCACGCCATTCTGTTTGAAGCGTGTTGAGTGGCCTATAGTTCACAAATGACGTATGATTCCTATTCTAGGATCCTGAAAAGTGCTCTAAGGTAATGCATATACCACTGGATAGAATTATCTGATTATCCGTCGCTTTCCTGATTAGTCCAGTAGACCAGATTTAATGGATTTTTCAGCTGATGCATGTCCTACTTCTTAGATGAAGTGAAGTAACGCTAAAAATGGGCACGGGAAAGTTGTAGGTACTCTGTACTGCTCTCTGCTCAGGGCTGACATCGATAAATCTCGTCCTTCCCTCAAAGCACTTCGTTATAATTCTGAGTTGGTGAATAGCATTTTCAAATGACTCTCCTTTCTTCAGAATTGTGGGTTTAAGTGTTTACTCTGTACTTCTACGACGCTAACAAACATTGCAGGGCCTCGTTCACGTGAAGGTCCAGTCGACAGAAGGGAAGCCAACTCTGGATTGCGCCACTGTGAAAAATTGGGTCGTCCCGTTCAACTATCCTAACTTTCGGTCTCTTCAAGATAACCATGTAACCCGATTACATGTATGGCTGTGCGCATCCAAGTCACTCCAAACATTAATTATTGCCGATTTGCTCAATTCTTATCCTAAGACTTCAAAGTCAAAGGCGGATATATCGAATTGGAGGGAGCAGCGCATTCCAAAGACAAAGTGGTAAAATATGGAATTCCAGCCTCATTCTTACCATGTCTTATATTGAGCTGGATCCACGGTTGCCCGGAGGCACAGAGGGATCCCTATCACCTACCTTCGCACTGTTGCACCAGACCGAAGGATTACATATATTAAAACTCTACAGAAAATTTCGTTTTGAATCAGATGTTGCTGGCTTGGAGTGTCATTGAACACGTTTGTTGTTTACCTCAACTATACGTCTACAATCTAACGACCAAATGAAGAGTATTCACATGTCGAATACAGTGCAATGTTAGCCTCAGCTCTAACATTCCGTAAGTTCATCCTGAAGCCTAAGTGGTGCGGAAGCAACCGAGCGATTGTCCAAACCGAATGTCAAATAATCTCATTCGTACTTAAATTAGTCCGCTCGTAACTTAACTGTTAGATGAAGACAGATGCCGAATACACTCATGTGCATGCCAATTTGGTTTTGACGGGAGACTCACTCGGAACCAAGCTGAATCTTTCGTTTATGATGTTGATTTTGACGGAAACTCGGGGATTGCGTCCACTTGATGAGCCCCAAGAAGGGCGGAATCACTCGTGGGCTGTCGAAGAGTTTTCAGCAACATTATGGGTAGTGTATTACGTTGAAGACACATGTCGCTCACGCACACTAGGTGCTTATCACGATATCAACCCACCATGGGATTGTTGAAGACTATGAGTACCTTAACATCTTGGACTTTCTAACAGGGCCAGCTAGTTTAGTGATGAAAGAATAAGTTCGTACTCGTTCACCTATCAGTGGTAGTTAGTTTCAGTTTGGTTACGATGTGGATTTGTTCGGAAGACAACTGTCCTACGTAATTATTTTGACAAATTTTCTCGGGTAATTGTCCTGATATTCCTCATTCCACGGCTACCACTGTTGGGATTGTTGAATAATCATGTTAGCTCACAGTTTTGATGAGTATTAGCAACCAGTCGAATAACAAGCGTCTTTGAAAATATTCGGCAACGGGGATTATACAACTCCCCCAACCACCTACAACTAACGTGAAAATTGCCCAGAAGGTTCCAAGGGTCTGTGGCACACCCTGGATTGGGAATTCCTGATAGGGGGGGGGGCGAATCGATCAACAAAACCAAGAAAGTTACTAGGTCGTCACATCACTCATGCGTGGACACGTTCGCCCATTCAGACTTGAAAATCTAGTTGCATCCAGCATGCGTTGGTAGAGTAGCAACCCAGGCTCGCCTCGCAAGATGTGCGGCGTGGACACGTTCGCCCATTCAGACTTGAAAATCTAGTTGCATCCAGCATGCGTTGGTAGAGTAGCAACCCAGGCTCGCCTCGCATGCAAGATGTGCGGAGTTCAATTCATAGCACGACCAACAGTATGCACTGCTAATGAGCGAAATTCGAGTCGATGTCTTCCCCTTGATTCGGATTCACCGGAATGATTGGGCCGGGACAGGAGGACGACTGTCAAACAAGAGCCGAGTCGATGTCTTCCCCTTGATTCGGATTCACCGGAATGATTGGGCCGGGACAGGAGGACGACTGTCCAAACAAGAGTGATATGAGCGCGAATTCTGCAAATCTCGTAACCATCTATTAATATTCGGAACTTGTTTCGTATCTTATAGTACTGACTAGGTTCAGTTTCAGGACATTACCAGGGGCGTGCAAAAAATGAACTCCATTGGTGGTGGAGTTGTTTGCTGAGCTTCATAGTTCCGTTAGAAACAAGCTGAGCTGTCAAATGAACTCAAATTATGACTCCATACAACCAACCGAACTGCGCACAACGATCACATCAAAATATCTAGTGCTGAAATAAGTATGCTGCGTTGTGCTAACGTTGCTTATGCTTAGGTATCATAATGTTATCAACAGCAAACATTCATTAGCCCGAAACTTTCAAAGTATTCAATTGGCTGCGTGCTTCTTAAGTTTACACCTTCACACACTAGATCCTTCTGTCTGCCGTAGATGTGGAAGTGACCCCAATTGCAGTATTCTGTTCCACCACACTTAGTGAAGCAGACAATCCATTTTTAGAATCAGTCACCCACGGTAAACAGGCAGCATTTTGCTAACGGTAGCTACTAGTCTTAGTTTAGGCTGGGTACCCATTACCAACAGTCAAGTTAGTTCTTCCAGTTACAAGGCATGTTATATCCTTGGTGCCATTTTACTTCTGAGATTAATGAGTAGATCACATAACCAACGATATGATATAGCCCAAGATAGCGTGAAACAATATTAGACTATAAGTACCTTCAACTACGACTGGACGACGAGTGTCCGGCTGGTTGGGATTTGAAGCTCCGGAGGGAGTTCTTGTGGGTTCATTCGCAAACCGATCGGTATTCGGCTCTAAGTAACCTTCTAGCATGGCAGAAGGCATACCGGTAGTTGGGAACTGGAAATTCGTTTCATTATTTGCAGTCGCTCCCATCGGTGTCATTGAGAATCCGCGACCTGGTCCGTACGGCGATGGCGTGGACTGCGGTGTCATACTGTGTATTCCAGCTGAACGTCCGGGGTGAGGTGCATTACCTGTCATCGTTGCCCTACCTGGCTCAACGTTTCGCGCAGACCGCCATGCAGGAGAGCCAGGGGCATCGGCGAGCCAGGAGTCCTCACGGGATGCTAATGGCGCTCTGTTCACGGTACGATCAATGTCTGACAAAATCGAAAGCGAAAAACAATTTTCCGTTATTTAGTGCCGCATAAAGCACTCGCACCCCTAGTGCGAGTGAGGCTATTGTAGTACACAGTTCCAAATAAGCGATCGATGTAATTCCCGTAAACTTGTGGGCTGAAGAAAACTGCAACTTGCGATTAGCCTTCTCTTGCCAAGTTCTAATCGAGAATTTCGGTTTGTAATCATCTTATCTAATAAGCTGGAATGCAATGAGTAGGTGGACATAATAACCATAGTAAAAAAATCAAAAATACAAATGGATAACATGGGTCTCACAGTGCATCTAACACAAATTACCACCAATTCATCTTCGGCGCTAATTAACAGCTGATCACTTTCAATATATTAAAACAAGACACTTTCCATTGGCGACTTAGTTTTCCTACAAATTGACAAATGGTAATGGGTAAGGACACAGCCCCCTTTGGTGCACATGATTTCTAACTTATCGCACCGGTAGATATTGAACGAGAAGCGGATAATCAAAAACATCTACTGCTGTTGCAGGGGAGTATTGCGGAAGCCAATTACGACACATAAAAGGAGAAGAAAAGCAAACCGTCGAAATGAAAGACTGACCAAAGATTGTGTTGAGACCGACTGGATACATTGAGAATACCTACAACAAGCTTATCTTTGGCTGATTCATCTGTTCCCCCCAGTTCCCATCCGCCTCTCACTGCTTCTGGAACTTCTTCCAAATGTACTAAACTATTGAAGATACACCAATGAATTATTTAAGGCGATATCCATTGACGTTGATTGCTCCTTCGTAGGACATTTAGTAGGATTCATCGGAGAACACTAGGATTTTCGCGATGTCTTCCTCCGGTCAACACAGATCTAAGGACTATGACACCAAGTGCAAGCGACTTATACAATTAAAACAAGAATAAAGCAGAGGGTATAGGCAGAATTATGAAAACAGCTTATGTCACGAGCACTTCGCCTGAGTGGTCAGCTACCACCTGAGCAGACCGTGGAAGATTCAGTACGCGGAAGAACGCTTACTATGTGCACAGATTGGGTAGTAAGAACGAATCCTGATTGTGTCTGAATTGTAGCCGGAAATTCGCATTGGTAGGCGACTCGGCTTTTGGTGCGGTATTCGGAAAGTTGAGCTAGGACTGAGTACTTGACTTGCGTCAGCTAAATGAGAGGCCAGTACGCTGATAGTATAGTATAGTATAGTAGTAAAATAAACCATACGAAGACAGGATTGCCAGTCTCAACCTATCAGACTTCTACTATCGGCGCATCAGGGGAGACCTAATTCTAACATATAATATACTGAAGACACCTAATCATCCGCTGGAAGACCTTTTTGTCCGACGTCGAACACGAACGGTCAGGAGGCATGATTTTCGCTCGCGGTACCTCACTCGAGGGTGAACTGTCGACGAAACTTTTTTGCGTCACGTCTATGTTTCATTTGGAACTCCCTACCTCCAAAGGTTGTACATTCGCCGAGTTTAACCATTTTCAAGAACAATTTAGATGCATATCTTACGTCCAAACCAAATCTGGAACTGTTTAATTCCATGTGATACTCAGTAAACATTACGCATATTTTTGCGTCCCTTTGTGTATATACGTTTACCCTATGGTCGTTGTAAAGTTAATTGCTTTTTAAACCATTAAACCTTGAATTAACCTTGAATTAAAAAAAATTGAATTCATCGCCCCGGTTGTAAGACAAAATAGGTTATGCTCCTACATACTATCGCTTATCCGCTCCGTATGTATTCTGTTATAAATCAGCAGTTGGAACTAAGACTATCATACTATGAGCGTGGACCGTCACCTTTATCCCTAATGTACTCGTATAGATTGTTCACAAAAAGTGTTGTAAGCCCCGAACTGTAGTGACCGAAAGAGAAGATGGAGAAAGCAAACATTTTCGTCAATAGTTAATTTCTCCCTTACAAGCGGTCAAGAAATGCTACCGGGGCCTCAGGTAGTTTTACTTAACCTTGATTTTCTGCGCGCTGGAAGTATTCTGTATAGCTTTGAGGGGTTCACACACATACTCTGACGTTACCCCTAATCCGATTTACTCAGAAGTTTATACCACAAAACGCGTGGTCACTTGACATTTCGTTGATTTCCTTGTATAAGTATTCACTCATTTTTTAACTTCGTCACTGTGTCTGTTATCTACAAGGGACTGCGCCTCATTGTTACTTTTAATTGAATCCTAATGAAAGATAACGTGAAATTTGAACCTGCCAATCAGCTCTATTTGTCAATTAACACTGAGCAACTAACGTTGGTCATCATGCAATTATTATTATGGTTAATATTATTATTATTATCATTATTATTATTACACAAAATGGTGTTCGCTGATGTTCTGGTAAACTGTTTTGAACTGAAGTATTTAGACAACCATTGTATGTTATGCTTCAACCAACTGCATCACTGACATGTCTACGTCTTACTCGATTGTGAGCAAACAAACACTATTTGATGGTGCTAAACTTCCGAGTGGAATAGCACAAAAATGGAGCAGGTTTCGAATGGCAAGGGTAAAATTCGATCCTGACTACACACAGCCAATTTAGTGGTCTTTTGTTATACGATGAACCGGACAGCTTGTTTACGTTTTACCTGACCGTGATGAGTCGCACGGAGCACTGACCTTCACAATTCGGTTGATTTATGGATTTAAATATGATCGTTATTTGCGGTCGAAAGGAACAGATCGGTCAAGCAACGGCTACCATACATCACCAGGTGGAGAAATATTCGTTTAATTAAGTGCGACGTAATACAATATTCACAGGGTTGCTGAAAACTATTAAACGGCCAGTGTCTCATCTGAACCGAAATTTGATGGGTTTAGACAATTAGTTCGAACGGAACATAAAGTCGACGAAACACTGGGACTGTATCTACCTGATAGGCGCCAAAAAGGGCGACCTGGTTGTGAATTATCGAGGAGTCTCAACGCAGTTCATACAAGACTTTCTTCAAGACAGTATTTGTAGATAGTTAGCTCCGAAAGAGAGCGTTTTTTGCGCAAAAGTACCACGGTGAACAATAAAGTTCTCTAATCAGTACCCTGCTTTTTGAGCGTGAACAGAGTTCCCACTAATTTGGCTGACGACCGTCAGAAGGAAATGTTTTATAGTTTGATTATCAACAGAAACTTTAGAAGATTTCTTTGTTTTGCACTACCGTTCCTGACAAACTTTTTAAGATGCTATCCACTGTTTAAAAAATCTGGAATAAGCAATTTTTCCTCGACCGCTTTAGAAACCCATATGAGGCTTTGTGCAATAAAATTCCTGGTGCAGTGACGCCCCTCTAGAAGAGCACACTCTCCCTTGGAAAAGACGCATTGAGCACTATATTTGCGACATTTTCTTATCAAGCTTCAGCAGACAGCAACTGTTTTGAAAGAAAGTGGATTGGTGATCAGAAATCACCCTGTAGACCGTGCAGCAGAATTACAGTCATGGGTCTGATTCTTTGACAATACCTGAGTTCCGTCCTTTTGGAGAATGAATAAATGTACACAGCGCCCTAAAGATGCAGATCTGCTCGGCTGATTGGATTTATCTGGTAGACTGCTCTTGGCTCTATACTTCCATGGAATGGTTTAGTTCCTCATTGGTTTCCCCATAGCGCGTCTCATATTTGAGTACACAGACTCTTAAGGGGACCGTTTAAAGCATGTTAGAACCTATCGTAATCCAAAGTTTATATTATATAGAGCAAAAAGATGAGCATTTCTTTGATATTTTACCGTAAGGTGAACTTAGTGTGCCTTGTAAGCCCGAAGAAAGCAGTATTTTCGATGCAACATGGTGAGCTGCTGACTAGGATGGCGCCTGAAGGAGACTTCAGTAAAACGTACGTCCGAAATGATTCGGTTCAGTTTTTAAACTGTGAAACATGGAAACGAAGTGTGGCGTTTCACAAGGGTATAATCTTCATCATGCCTTGATGCAATTGCGGTATCTAATTGAATCCCAAAATTTTGGTTCGGCGGATTCGACAATTCCCACCGTCAAAATTAGGAAAATGGTACCCATGTTTGAAACCGCGCACTTGTACTGGTCCAGTGGAACTGACGTCATTCTTGGCGTCCAATTCAGGGGCTGTCGAAAAAATATCCGGTATTGTCCTCCTAGTTTACTAGATACAACGGTCGATTTGAGGACGGGATGTCATTTTACGTAAAGCTGTCTTTACGTATCCTTTGCGTACGTCTTAAGTATCCGATAAACCAAGAGGTTTCTCGGCGAACCTGACTAAAACAATCTAGACATCCTGATTTCAGCTCTTTACATTGTGCTATTACCAAGTTCTCTAAATTCAAAAACCTTTTGGATATACGTTCTTCAGGTTGTGTCTATCTTGAAATCTTTGCTTACTGCTACGATCAACTTTAGGAATTCGCCTCATCAGAGAGCTTCTCATGATAATCTACCGGAAATTTGAGGAAACTGAACAACAAGGGATTTTCACGGCATCAGATAGAAGGTCAATTCCATTACACCATTTATCAATAATCACTGACTGAGCCAAGGTTGACCTGTGCCAATATTACCAAGAAAATTGAGTCTAAAGATTTGTTTTCATCTTTTGAAGTACGGATTTTAGTAAGTCACACGCCTGAGTTGTCAGTAGAACTCCACTCATGAACTTCGAGTCAACCATTTGTGGAGTGTCAGCTTTCCGAGTTCAGTAGTGGTTTGTACTGTTTCGTGCTGTTTTATGCGCTGTAGAGTTGTCGACATCTAATTGATCATGTTTCTGGTACACGTTTTGTTCTGTTGCTGATCTCTTAATCGAGGAACGCTTTAGTAGTTCTCTCAATATTAGTGGTACGTATTAGGCGAGCTTTTTGGAAGCCTTCAATCGACTGGCGAATTCATGTCAGTGGTGATCGATAACTATATAAATAGTTTGTATAAATAATCTGACCAGCTAAGAGCATTAAAAATACCGAATGCATTAGGCAACTGGATACAACAAGCATCAGCTGCCCGTGACTGGTCCTCCGTCGCATGGTCCTGAGGACATCGGCTTAAAACAGCTAATCCAATGATCACGAAACTGGCCTCATATACCTCCATCTAATGGAATCCGGCTAAAGTTCGTATGCCTGAGCGCTGCGGCATCAAAAAGCAACCCTTAAAGGTCGACATTCAACTATGGTAAACAATCGAACGATTCATGGGTGGGATTTTGCTAGGCCAGGAGTTTATTTACGACTTTCCTGCAACCGGCCCGACTTCGTGGCTCATTTTTGTTGTGTATATCCTTCTGGTGGTGGTGCGAAATTTTCCAGTTCAGATGGTTAGTTTAACTCATAGGTAAGATTTAGTTACACCAACACCGTCCCGGGCTTACTGATACAGTACAGGTTTCACAGCATGCTTTGAAATCATTGTTCTCCAGGCAACCTTCGGTGTTGGAGACCTCCCTAAATATTGCAAGCCTGGGTGTCTCTACTGGTTGTTGGCCATGCGGCGAACAGATAAATGATCATCCGGTCGACCACCAGTACCTATGGCGTTCTGGAGAACTTACAATGAGAGAAATATACAAGGAATTTACACGCGCTATTCCAGTAGTAGCGCCGTACTTCTGGTCTGCAGGATCCGGAAGGTATTCTCACAGTTGGTTAAACAGCTTCCACCAACAGAATGTGCACATGAAATTCACTGGGTTGCATGTGTTAGGTTCCAGATAGTCCACCTATTAACCAGCCTACCTATTTACAGAAAGGTCCGATTTCCGACTGCTCCTGAGAAACCTGGAAGTATCCAGACCCTCAAGCTTCCTTCAGATTGCATGTCGTCTATACCAGCAACCCGGTGAGGATGCCCATAATTAGGTTTTCTCAAGTACCTAGAAGACAGATCAGCTGTTACAGCCTAAGGAGGTAGTATTTCACAGTATTGGTACTGGCTGTGGAACAAAAATGCAGCTCATTTTGAATTACCACTGAATTTTACTGTGTGTTTTTGAGTTGGAGCAAACAGACTAAGATCGTCCAGAAATTTATTATTTACTATTCCAATAACTCCTCATACGAAGTGCAACCATAGGAATTTTTTTGGTTATTACCTGGACGCTGATATTCGGGTGTCCGGAAGAACCATGAAACATTAAAACATGTGGTGGTTTACGAACTTTTCTACCTTTCAAATAAAAATAACTATTTTCTATGATCATACTTTCCTTGTCGTGCCCTTCAGTACAATTCGTTCAGTAGGTCACATTGAGATGAACTTTCTGTATGCCACAATTAGGAGTTGATTCTCTGTTGAATCATTGCTTCGGTACACAGAATAGAACACTTGTGATTTTAACCGTTAGGTATGTATTCATCTGGCAACGATACCCAGAAAGCATTAATGTTTGCCACTTCGTCCGTGTTAAATCCGAGGAAATATTCAAACAGTTGTCACTCATTGTCCTATAGTGAGTGCCTACGATCTAGCAAGTACTTAATTTGTGAACAGTGTTAATCGATTCTGCTGTAAAAGGCGTGAGATTATTGGCAACAACTGCCAACGGTTCGGTCTGTTAGCTGAGCTTGGTCTGAACCATCTAATCCAACTCACTGAGAGCCAAGGTGCCCACAGCCTATTTGTATAGTCTACTCTCCAAAGAGAATCCAGACTAGTCTTGGTGTCGTCCAGCTAATGGACAGCTAATCCCAGCTGTCCATCAGTCCAAATTCGAAGACCCGTAATTATAATCAAACGCCGAGATGTCTGCTCCGGCAACAGAAATTTTACTACCTGGGTGGTAAACATTGGCTAACAGACTGATCAAATTAATCTAATTCAGACTGTTTTACGGTTATATTATTCTTATTTCTTTATTCGGTTGTCTAGTAGGCGAAATACGGTCAAAGGAAAGAATTCGAAGCAAGCAGAAGGGAATCGGAAAGAACATTTGGCAAGTCAGAATGAATTGATTTGAGTAATTTGAGTGAAGAGAATATTACCTTGGGTACTTGAGGATGTGTTGAATACTGAGTTTCATTAACATAAACCAGGATTTTTCACTTTTGTGGAGAATTCAATAGCGAAACCCGTTTTCAGTAAATATCTACTCATTAGTAGTGTGGCCCAACCAGCAAAATTATATGTGGATTGTATCGTGACGAGGAAACGTACTAGTGCCTTCCAATTTAGTATTGCGCAGAGGGCTTGCTCGGTCTGCATCTCCTGGTGAAAACGAGGCACCTACAGCTGGTGTTCGGTGTCTGAGTGGCCAAATAGAATGCCCTGCGCTACGGGTTGGCAGAAGCGCATCAGATTCGTTTGGCTCCACAGCATTTCCAAACGCGTCCAATTGGTTATCTTCGCTTTGAGGAAGGTATTCACTACCACTGCCGTGAATCTGGCACGAAGGATGAAGACGTGCATAGTCCAGTATACCAACATCGCCCTCACGGCAGGCACTGCCATTGACTTTTGTGTTTGGACTTCCGTCAGGTACACCGCGACCGTGAATCAGGGGCTTCAGTTCGTGTGTTTCAGCTGAAAACGTAGCCGATCCAAGATAGCTGTTGTTGTGGTACTTGATCGCATATTCGTCCCCCTGTGTGTGCGGAAAATATGACCTTAATTCTCGACACCAAGTCGGAGAACGAACAACAATGTTATGATTAAACCAATGGTGAAATCGAATTTATATAAAACAATTCTTTCGATTTGTGGACGTCTTTGACTGAAGGTGGTTAATCGGTAATACCATTTTTTCACCAGTGGACTATGCTACCTGAGAGCGTTTCAGCGTGATGAAGAATCACTTTTTAAAAACTTCAACTGATGCGAAATTGGTTTAGCATTGATGCATGTTATTTGAACAAAGCCCCTGCTTAACATGTTCGGAGTGTTCATTTTGAACTGGTGTCTTTAATAAAAGTGTTTAAATTTTTTGAAATGAGAGCGGATCTTTTTGAGCATAAAACCGAACATGTTGCGGATTGATTTTGAAAAAAACAAAGAATAATGGGGTTGTTTCTCATTTGCCAGAGAGGACCCTTCCTTTCATATGACTGTTCCCATCTACACCGACCGCCTGAAGGGATCGATTACATGTCGAATTTCACAGTGTGTTTCCCCTGGCAGTGGCCTGCCCAGAGGGAGACAAAGGTGCGATTTCGGTTATCGTCAGAGTATGACAATCGAGTTCAGTTTGACGCCTACTAAAACTAGATGTGATAATTTTAATGCAAGCTCAGATTCATCATACCGCCTAATTTTTGGTCAATAAATATCGCCTAGGTTTGAATCATGCTTTGTAGTGGAGTTGAACATTTTTAGAGCTTTGTGTAATGTAACGCAGCTGGTCTGCGTTCAGAAAGTGGAGCTAATGAACAGATTTTTACATTTTAAGAGTAGCACCACCTTTGTGCCTGGTCAGTTCTGCCCACTTTTTGTAAAAGCACAGACAACGGAGGTGTACAGCAAGTGTAGTTGTGTAACATTAACCGTTTCACTGTGATGAGTTTTGATGAGGGAAGTTATGCTGCATCACGTGGGATCGTTGTAAATGTCAGTGTCTTGTGATGTGATCTGGAAATCCATCTGTTCTGCAAATGTAGGAAACTCTGGATGGATAAAATGACCGATCGAGCTGCGCTAGTTTCCAGCCACCATACAAATGATGTGTGACTATAATTTACCCAAATTAGAAAATAGTAGAGGATTCGATATAAATCAGTTTGAGACTGAATGTTTGGCGTGCAGGAAATTTGAGCTCATTATAGATCGAGAGTGTAAAGTTCGATACAAGTAAGAAAAAACGATAAAGAATAATCTGGCCGAGTAGACTTCGCACATGGATTTCCGAAAGCTTCCATTTTTTCTTGAGGGATTGATTGATTTGACAACCCGAGGTACGTCAGCCTCACGGAGCCGAACACTACCTGGTTGATTTCTTCTGTCCATATAGTATGAAATATTGAATGATCATCTGTCCATGATTACTGTGGGGCACAAAAGTCCTCACCGTTTCCCTGGATTAGTAGTCACTTCGGAATGACAACAAAAGAAAACCTGGGATGAAAACTGGGGCTAAATCAAGTTAAATTGCCTTCGAAGCATACTACCAAGCTCATTGACCCGTCCAACGTCACACTTCTGGCCAGATATGAGAATCATTTTTCTCAACATCTATCACTGCTGATGAGTCATAGGTCACAACTACGGGTTTGACTTTTGAGGAAACTGATCATCAATGGGGCTGGAGATTGAGTAGTGTTTAAAGTTGATAGGCTAATTAACATTTTGCTTGTAAATTTCATTCATTTAACCGTATGTGTTCGGTCGAGCGATAGAGAACTACTGAACAGTAGAGACAATCCACTGTAGGCAAAACCTAGAGAAGCGTGATTTCCTGCATTATTGGATAGTAACCAGGGCGACTGGGTGTGCCTGAATGAATGTATGCGAGTGCATCGGAAAACGAACTGAATGGCATGATTGAATACCAGCCGCGATTAGGCGAAACATCAAATGGTCCGATAGAATGTTGACAGTTAAGTAAAACATCAGTTTTGAACACTGATGTCATACTGTCGCTGATGGTGATGATGACAGCCACGTAAAGACATACTTACTTGGATGTACAAGTAACGTCCCGGAGTCTTGCAGAAGTTGTTAAAAGTCCTCTGCAATTCCACGAAAGTTGGGCGTGAAACAGCATCCTCAATCCAACCTATAACCAGTCAGAAATGTTAATTCATTTTTTAAACCATTTAGTTTGCAGTCAAATGGAACAACAGTCGGATAAGATTGTTACTTTCAGCTGAAGGAAAAATAAGACTGAGGTCGTCAGACAGTTGCTCCAAAGTTTCGTGACAATCACAATCACTCATCCTTAGCTAAGCATAACAGTAAGAAAATCAGTATGCATTCCGTGTATTACTAAAACAGCACGTTGAATCGTCAGAATTTCAGTGCCGTTTACTGATAAATTCAATTTAAGGATATTGCGGTCTTTTATAATTAGGCCTCCGGTTTCCTTGATGCATTTCTTCAGTAGGTCAATCCCATTGACTGAACATAGAAGTCTTGTTGCAAATGTCTCGTCGCAAATTTAGATGACATCATCAGTGTGCGTAATGGTCTGGTGATACGCCGTGGTTCAGTAGTGTGTCCGTCAGTGGTCAGGCATACACATAATTCAGAACAACATCCAAGGTGCACCACTACACCACTACGAAATGACTGCCCCCTTGACTGATGACATCACTGGTGAAGAACGTTTGCAGAAAATTGGCCTAGCTGGGCAGATATTTCAGCCACTAACTTCATAGTATCATCCACCAACTTCCTCCTCTATATCATATTATTGTTCCGCCTTGGTTGCGACAGTTGATGATACATTCGGGTAAGGTCGATGAAAAATGACAAAACCAGATGCTCTGACGAAAAGTTTGATTGGATCCATTTGTTTATTTATTGCCTGCTGAGATCCGAACTACATTTGAATCGGCGTGCGATCAGTCGCCATTTTCTACCCTTCAAAAATTTCCTATTGAAAGAGAGGATGGTTTCTCTGGCTCATTAAAGGTTGCTGTGTTGTACCATCTTGATAACTGGCCGTTAATTCCAGACGGCTCACCTCAGTTGACCGATTTTGTGCTAGCTATGCTCTCATCAACTTTGAATGTGCACTAGAACAGTACCCAGAAGAACACCCATAGCACTACTATGCTCACATGCTTTCTGCTTAGTCAGTCACATAGAAACATCGAAAACAGATCGATTCTATAAATTCACAGGTTTGCAAAATTTCGTGCTGCATGATGGCGAACTTCACCTTAGTGAATATGATTTGCTATTGACTGGACAGACCTAGCATGTCCGCGTGCTCACTCACATGTGAACTCTGTTCATCGGTGCCAATCAAAGAAGTAATGATATCATCATCATCATCATCATCAACGACAGCATGGCATCAGTGTTCAACACCAATGCTTCACTGCCGTACTTGTAGAAAATATATATATATATAT